AGATTGGGGGACCCACACCCCAAAAACCCCCCCCGCAGGTGTGGTGGGGGGGGGATTTGGGGGAGTTGAAGTCCACTCATCTTAAAGTGGCCAAGTTTGGACAACACTGCTTTAGAGGACCCTTGAGGGTGGAACCAATCCATCTTACCTGGAACACATTCTGCAGGGGGGAGGGGCAACCTTAGTAAACCAAAAATAGCTTTCAGAAGAACCCTTGGGTCTGCATATTTAGTTGACACATGTTGGCTTGATTCACACTAGAAACTAGATTAGGCTAAAACAGGGTTGGGTAGCTTATCGTTCAGTAGGTTAGCTACCAACCTAATCAATGTCTTAGCATGCTATGCAACCCAACCCATCATGCTAAACCATAATATGATTTATTTGTTGGGTGTATCACATTATGTGAAAACAACAATTGTGCTTCATCAATGCAGGTTTAGGGAGTTGTGTGAGTGCTCCCACATGTTCCTTCTATCGCACCATGCTAAGGCACCACACAAAAAAAAAGAAGAAAGGAATCTAGTGTGACAAAAATATTGTTGGAAAAAATAAGTTGGGTGAACTAAACATACATTGCTGGAAAGAGCTGGATGTTAAATAATTTCATTACCTCATTTATTACAGCTCTCCTCCTCCTGAAGAGCTGAAATTAACACATTTCTTTCCTCTGTATCTCTTTATGTCTACCATTGTAGCAGGTAGATTAGGCTAAAAGGAATATGAACTAGTTTTTCTGTATCCTAATCTAGGTCTGTTAGACAGTAACCCATACTTTATTTTTAAACCTACCAAAAAAACCCCTTCTTAATTAAAAATCATAAACACAGAGGAAATCAATTCACTTCTACTGGGTGATCAATGATCTTTTGTTTCTGAGATCTCTTGATACCCACTTAGCATATCCTTCTTGTTTCCCTCAGTGGAGAAAACTCAGATGCCATTTGAAATTCTTCTTTTCAATAGAAATTCAAGTATAAATCAGGTAATATTTCCTTTGTCAAAGTCTTATTCAAAAAAGGATACAATCTTGGAATGAGTTCTCGGATGGAAGCAATCTTGAAAAACCAGTTTAAGCAGGTTTCTTTGGCGATATCATTAACACTTTCAGGAGTAAAATTATCTGATTAAAAAAAAAAGAAGTCTTAACCGAGAACCTACTTCCTCAATTAAATTAGATATTTTAATCATACAGATCTGAGAAAATGGCATTCAATCATATAAAAATATAACATCATTAGAAAATGCTAATTTCAGAGGTCATCTGTCAATTACACAGTAATAAGAAACTAGAGATTCGACTACTGTTTGGTTTGTGATGGTTCTTGGCCTTAATTTCCAGTTTTATATTTCTGAAGAAGGTTTGTTTAATGGTAGTTCAGCATTTAATAGCCGTGTATCGTTAAATAGCAACTAATATGTTAGTCTACTAATACAGGCATTTATTCAGGAAAAAATAAGGCTATAATGATACACCCACTTATGTAAGCACACAGCCCAGTAAACAGAAGGCAAGATATTTTTGAGCAAATATGGATATTATGATGTCAAAGGAATCAGCCAAAGGCTTATTATTACACAAAATACTGTAATTGATTTAAACTAACCCCCTCCAGCACAAATAGCAGCAGCAAATGGAATACGCCAGAATCCGTTGCTCTTTGCTGGAAAAATGTGTCCCCAAATTGAACCCATTGGTAAAAGCTTAGCATATATACGAAAAGGATGCATGGAAAAATTGAATAATAGGCCTACTTGGGTTCAAATGGAGCATATATTATGGGAGCATTCAGCAGGTGGTAGCACCCCACTGACTTTGGGCTAGTTGCTAACCAAGGATGGCTGTTTAATACTTGGATGGGAGACTACTAGGAAACCCATTATTTTAAAAGCAGAGTTTCCTTAATGTTGCAATATCATGGCTCTACCACTAGCAAGAGCAGACATCTATTCAGAATGTAAATGGCAGAAGGAACACAGCTGAATGGTTGAATGCGCTGTACACGTTGCACAGAGAATACCCAAATGCAGTGCCCGGCATTTGCCTCCGCCCTGATCTACAATCTGGGTTCGGTGATGAAGATGAACCAAATGGCAGTTCTTACTTAAAAACTCCCTGCCACCAGGCCTCTGTATGCCTCTCTCCCCCGAGACTCAGCAGCAGAGGGAGAGACACTAAGACGTAGGCCAGCATTCCTGCAGCTGGGCTCCCTCCAGATGTGTGGGCTTCATAGTGGCTCTGGAGTTCTAGGAATTGAAATTCTCCCATTTGGGGGGTGCCCAGTTTGGGGATGGTGGCTGTGAACCCTTTAAGGGTTCCAACTGGATGTAACAGCATTGCCTTGTTCAAGAGCTGGCTGTGAATCAGTGCTGAAGCAATGGTGCTGTTCCTTTTGCTCCAAGCTCAGAACGTGCCCTGTATTACAGAATGACCCTGAACTGTGACTCTTTGCAACCAATCTGGATTAAGCCTCGCACTGCTTTTTTGGCTTCCATTCCAGATTATCAATTCTGACCACTTCTGATTTACAAACCATGGAGGTCCACTGCTTCAGTGGAAACGGATGTAGCAGGACTAGGGAAGAGCTCTGTGTGAAACTCTTAAGAGAGTCACACTGTGTACAGAGAAAATATTCAGAAACTGTTTTGTAACCAAGAGGGCAGAAGCATTCCCAGAGTCGCTCTTGAGTGAGATGGGCAGTGACTAAATTTGAAATATAAATAAATTTAAAAATTCCTAATTCCTGGGATGGGAGATCATATTAAGAAGATGACTCCTGCCTGGCTCACTGGGGTATAAGAGGAAGGGAAGGAGAAGCACAATCAGATTTGCAAGATTCTGTTATTACAGCCTATCTCAATAAAGTAGAGTTCCAGGCATCCTGCAGAGTGTTTCTCCTGATCTGGTCTACCTCAAAGGGCTGATGCCCCAGTCACTGGGCAGCTTCAAGACACCCCGTTTGGTTTATTGATTGACCCAATTTTACTCCATCAGGTCCCCTGGACCAAGATGCTTCCTTGTCTAGTAGAAGAAAAGGCCAGGCTCGTTCATTGTAAGGCAAAGTGGAACAAATGGATTGATGATACGACCTAGGATGATTTTATCCCCTCTGTATTCTGAGCACCTCTTTGGCATCAAACAAGAGAACAGCAGCAGATGCTTTAACTTAATTGCAAGACGCCACCATTTGTTATTCCACTGCTGTTCTGCTCTCTCTCTTCAAAAACACGGAGCCCAGGCAGGAATTGGAGAAAGGCCGCAATCCTCTCCCATTTTGGCCACTGCCCCCCGCCTTGAGAACTTTTACATAATGGAGCACTATGGGGATCCAGAGTCTGTAGTTCAAGCATGTACTAATTGCCAAGTTGGTTAAGGACAAGGATCCTTAATCAAAGCAGCTCAACAGAGAGCACAACAAACCAACAAGATAGATCAGGAATGTAACAAAGCAGGATCGAACCCCCCACAAAGCCGAACTAATTTCGGGTTGCAAAAACATTTCCATGTTTTTTTAAAAGGGAATTATGAAGGCTCCGGTAAGAAGCAGAGCTGGCTTCACAGAGCATTTGTTTGTAGCCATAAAGCTTTGGTCTCGTTATCGGGGGCAAAACATAGCCCTTTCCAATTATTTCTGCTGCAGGCAGGTTTCTTGAAGGCAGGGGGTGTGGGCTCAATCAGAACCGTTTCTCTTTCATCAGAATGGAAAGAATGAGTACAAGGCGTCATGAGCATGCCCTCGTTTCACAGACAACTGCTCACGGCACAGCTTGGCCCGGGAAATTGTGTGGGTTTACCATACCTGGAATATCTCATTCCAGCATGAGTGCAAGAGGGAACCGTTTGCTGATCCAAGATCAGCTTCAGGCAAAAGAGACATATATCCTCCAACGATCAAGACAGGAGTAAAGGAGCAGTAGGCAGAAGCAAAAGATCACACGGCGTCTCAAACCATCCTGCGCATCTATAGAGAGAGAGTTTGGGGTAGCGGCTAAGGTGATGGACTAGAAACTGGGGGAATGCAAGTTCTAGTCTTCATTAGGCACAGAAGCCAGCTGGGTGATTTGAGGCCAGTCTCTCAACCCAACTCAACTCAAGTCAGAGTTGTGGGGAAGATAGGAGCAGGAACATTATGTACAATGCCTTGAGTTGTATAAATAAAGGCAGGATGTAAATAATACATTTATATACGTATTTTTAAAAGGAAAATCATCCTCAAATTGAGCTAGTGATAAAATTGACACCACCATGCCATCTTCTTGAACGAGCGAATGAACAAACAAATGAATGAATGGACTTTATTAGGATGGACACCACCACACCATTTTCTCAACAACCGTATGGAAATGGTTTGCTTCTGCATTCTCCCAGGATCATTTTTCAACTTCCCAATCTAGTTACAGCCCTAGGATGTCCTGTTAGTCTCCCATCCAAGCCCTAACTTTGGAGATCAGACAAGATCAGCTAGGGATTGCCACTTGCTGTGAAACCTGTATGTTTATACAGAGAAACAGAGAGACTGTGGAAGTTGTCTTATAAGCAAGGTAAACCCCCAGTCCATCTAGGTCAATATTACTGTATCTACCAGAACTGGGGACTTTGTGGTTCTCAAGAAGATGCTGAAGAACAACTCCCAGGAGCCCCAATCAGCATGTAGTTTGGCAACATGCAGAGTCCCCAGTTTTGGTCTCTACTGACTCACAGCAGCTCCAGCCAAGGAACCTCTCTAGTCCTACTTTGATTTTGGATTTTCTGCAGAGAGGTTGTGCTTGAAGGTACGTATAATGGAATTATCCCACATTTCTTACTTAGTCTTTGTTCTCACTAACTAAAACACAGTCAGTCAACCTGAGGTCAACAATCCCCATGTGATCTTCCCCAAAAGCTTGCTAAGGCTCTCAGAGCCCCTTTCTCTTAAAATGCAATAGAACTATGATTGGAAAACTCATATCAGTGACAAGACTGTTGGAAACAACATTAGAATTAACTTTTAGGAAGTTAAACTTCTGAGATATTTTGGAATGTGCCTTTATCTTTCTCCGTTGGGTCTTATTCGTCTTTTCTACTGCTAATTCTGAACAATTGTCTCCAACTGGCTGCTGGTGACAAAGATGTTA